ACCATTGAGTAGAACACAATGTTCCTCCCCTGGGTTGATGAGCTATCTGGGGAAGGGATTCTCAACAATATTCTTCTGGGGCATGTGGACTTCAGGAAGGTAGGCAGGGGAACTTCAGAGAGAGCTCTTGCCTGTGTTTGCTGTTGGCCAGGTGCTCTCATCCTGAGAAGTCAAAGCTGCATAGTTTGTGATATTGTTTTCTGAGCCCCAACAGTGTCCAGAGGCCTGTTCCTGCATCTTAATTTGCAGAAGAGGGAGATAAGAACCAAGACTGAGTTTACCAGCTTATCGGAAATAATGAAGTAGAATCTGAGTTAACTGGCTTATTGGCAATACTGGAGCAGAATCCACAACTCCCAGGACAGGGTGGTCCTGCATTTCACATGCCCTTTCTCTTGGTGGTGTTTTACAAATACTTCTTAGGTTAATGGATGAATAAAGGTCATTTTCTTCTTTAAGATGTCAACACTTGACTATGTGAATAGTAGTTGATTTGAAAGTTTCCATGTGGAAGATGAAGAACTGTTAGCAAAGGAAGATAGCTTGACAGAGATCTGGGGATCAGAATGGCTAACAAGCTATAAGTCACTCATTCTGTTGCTAAACCCTAGTCCGGCTGCCTGCCCCAAACAAAAACAAACACGTGAGAGTCAAATTGTTGGTGGACCAGAAAGTCAGCTTTGTTCAGGAACACCAGTGACCTGAGGGAGATGTCAGACTAACCCATCTCCCCAGTAAACCTGAAGGAGACAGCCAGACTAAAGCCACCTCAAAGGCTCAGTTCTACAGAGGAGTTTTACAGGGTAAGAAGAAGGAAGTGAAAAGCAGGTGTGAGGAGGACATGAGCTGGGGGCTCCGTGCAAGGAGTCAGGTGCAAGGCATCACCAAGGCTCCGTCTGGTTTCTGTTCTGTCCTTGCCGCTAGCGTAGGATCCTGCAGGATTTTGACTTGCTTCGATGTGAAAGCTTTTTTGCAGAGTCTCTGTGTAGCTTTGCAGGGCTCTGGCTGGCCTTGGAGTTCTGCAAGCCTCAATCCTTGCTGCTAGCGTAGGATCCTGCAGGATTTTGACTTGCTTCGATGTGAAAGCTTCTTTGCAGAGTCTCTGTGTAGCTTTGCAGGGCTCTGGCTGGCCTTGGAGTTCTGCAAGCCTCAAAGAAGAACTGTTCGTTTCACAAGGTACTGATTAGCTTTCAACAGTCTTGTTTTTTTTACTTAGTAAGCAAGATAAGAAAGTCAGGAAGGGGAAGAAAGAGAGGAGAAAAACGGTGCCTTTTAAAAATCTTCCCACAACTCAGGCAGTTTTAGGTCCCAACATGGCTTTAGTCCTCACTCCAACAATTCAACCCAGGTCCTAAAGCGCCAACTAAGCAGCGTGCTGGACGAATCCTGCAAGATCATGACAGTTAACTGAGGAACTAGCCCTGGGCTGCGCAGGTGTCTAGATCAGGAAAAAGGCTTCCTGCTGCAAGCAGAGGCCAGGTTGCACCACAACCCAAGGTGAGCTGCAAGCAGAGGCCAGGTTGCACCACAACCCAAGGTGAAGGCTGTTGGGTTGATTTTATAGATTGTTAAGAAGTCACCTGCCTGTAAATAAACCATTAGCAATGCAGCTTCTCCCAGGAAGAGGTCAACCCTGACCCTCTCCAAGCCCAAATGTATGACCAGCTACTCTGGCCTGGATCCAGAGACACCAGCCTCCCCAGGTTCCCTTGAACCTGGCTACGTCCCCAGCTCTGGTGGTGAATTCAGAGTCCCGAGGAAGCAGGTCATGATGAAAGGGGGTCTGGGAGACTCTGAGCCCCAGTAGGCAGCCCTCCATTGTTTTCCAGACCAGGCCCCCTTCCCCACCTCCAGTGGACACAGCTTCCAGGACCCCAGCTCTTGGTAGAACAGGCAGGAGCCAGAAAGTCCTTCTGTATGCCCCTGTGCCCTAAAACCCGCCCGCCCAGTGCCTAGAATGGTCTGGTCTGGATCCTTAACACCTCTTGAATCAGCTGCCCCTAATCGGTGGGGCCAGCCCAGTCCAAGTCACCAAGTCATCTGGGCCTGGAAACCTTTGGCTGCCTCCTGTGTGGTCCCCTGACACCACTCAGGGTCCATCTGTCCTGTACTTGCAAGTATCATGTGGGACCCTCAGCATTTCCCCATGGATTTCTGAACAAAGCCCCAAACCTTCATTATTTGGGTTTGCAGGGCCCCGCCTTCCCTGCTTCCTCCCTGCCCTCCCTGGCTCCAGTCTCTCTGCCTTTCATTCACTGCCTTACATTTCCCCATGGATTTCTGAACAAAGCCCCAAACCTTCATTATTTGGGTTTGCAGGGCCCCTCCTTCCCTGCTTCCTCCCTGCCCTCCCTGGCTCCAGTCTCTCTGCCTTTCATTCACTGCCTTGTCCGTGGGGCCCTGGTGTGAGCTCCTCCCCATCTGGACACCATCCTCCTCTAGATTCCAGCTTTATCACCTTTCTTCCCCAGAGGAGCCTTTCCTAACTCTCCACCCCTAGCCAGGTCCTGACCCCTGTAATGACCTCCCTCGACACACTGAACTTCTCCCTGTGGTGCCTGTCACAGCTGCGGTGATGTGATCAATGCTGAAACTCGTTCACGTTTGTCCACTCAGACTTCAGGGATCATGGAGGCAGGAATTCCCTCCTGGAATCCACTGCCTAGCCCAGCACATAGTAGGGCCTTAATTAACGACTGTTGGGTGAATGGGGATGGATGGATGGATGGTCTCCACGGCGCCAGGAGTACAGGGAGGATCCTGTGGGTTTTGTGAGAGGGGCCCTGGTCTATCTCAAGTATCTTTTCTGAAATAAGAAGGACATAAGGAGCATTCTCTGAAGGGTCTGCAGCTGGAGTCTGACATGGCCACCTTGTCCCTTGGGGAGGCTGGGAGCCAGAGAGCTCCTCACCCCTGGCACAAGCCAACTCAAATCTCCGTGCAGGCCAGTGTGCCCTATGCTGGGGCTGCTCCCGTAGCCCCCAGGCAGGGTCTGCGATTCTGTACGTAGGCCTTCCCCCTGGGGTACAGGCCCTCAGGTCAGCCCAGAGCGCCAGAGTTGCTGCTGTGTAGCGATTCCTTATGATTGTCTGTCGCCTCCGCACCCATTGTGAACATGGCTGGACCCTCTCACAGCAGAAGCAGGGCTCAGCCACCCTTGACAGTTCCCAGTTCCCCACCTCCTCCCAGTTCCTTGCTGGGGTCCATCCAGATGTCTGCCATGTGCCCACAGCCGTACGGGATGGCTGGGTACAACCTCCTTCACTTGCTCCACTGACCCCCACACCTGCGTGGACTGTGCAGATATGCCACAGTGACCCCTTCTCAGTCACAGCATGACCCCACAGAGCCTGTTTGCAAAACCCACCAACTAGAACTCCCTGTGGGAAGCCTGGACTCTCTCTTTGTGTCTCTCTCGGTCTCTTTCTCTCACTCCCCCTTCACTGCTTTAGTGTGTGTCCTGGACAGCTCCCCGACTCCTGCTGGCCCCGTGACGCACGGCACCTCTTCTGTCTGGATCTGTGGGTGATAAATTGCTTCTGTTGTTTCATGTGGTTTGTTGAGCTGCCTCCTCTGTGTCTCACCTGACCCACACACCTGACCCTAACTTCTGTCCTGGCAGAAGGCCCCTGTCTGGCCTCCGGGTCACCTCTAGAGTAGGAGGTAGGAATAAACTGGACATAGGTCAGATGCAGGGGAGCAGGCACCTAGTTGGTGGGCAGGGCTAAAGTTCATAGTCACTCTCCTGAGACAGACCTCAAGACTAGATTAGAGAAAAATACAACCTGCTGCCAATGATAGTAGGAAGCTGGAGAAGAACTGCCCAGCCTCCTCCCCGAGTTATGGTCCACAGTGGTCTTAGAGTGTCCCAGGGACTGGGCTGTGGGAATGCAGGGTCACCTGCTCATCCCATCACCTGTGTTGGCTCCTTCCTTGCCTGTCTCACCTCCTCTCCTAAATAAACTCCTTGCCCCAAATTCTTATCTCAAGGCCTATTTCTACTAACCAAAGACAGCCCCGATGAGCAAATGTCTGTGACTGTAGAAAAAGAATCCTTTGGAGGAGGCCCGCCGTGGCTGTGATTCTCACGCCCTGCCCAGAACTTGGGCCCTTCCAGCTAACCCTGAGCCATGAGGCCGGGACATTTTCCTTTCCTTTTATTTCTGATGCTTTCTGTGACCCTGCCACCTCACAGTGCAATATTTGCACTATGAAACCCTGAAAACTGCCCAATTTCACCCAATTTGGTTTCATGTTCTCAAGGAGCTTGGCATTGTGTAGAAACTCAGACATTCCCACGGCCCAGTTCCTATTTAAAAACTGCCTATCTATTTAAAGTTCATGATGGGGGAATAAAAGAAAAAAGACTCTCAAAGCCAATGGGGGAACATGAGATAGGCAAAAGAAAAATCCCGTTTGCTTCTAAAAAAGGCTGAAAATTACAGCCATCCACAGCCTCTCGTTTCAAGTCTCAGAATGTTTTTTTTTGTTGTTGTTCTCTTTTGGTCATTTGCAAACCAAAGTGGAATTTTATTATGGGTTACTAAGTGAGCTTTCCCGAGTTCTTAGCTCCCAAAGCCTCTGTTTGCTCAGTAGCCAGCCATTTAGGCTCCTCATGAGGGTGGAGAGAGCATGGGACTGGAATACAGCGACAGTGTCTCCAAGATATAAATGTCTTCCCTAGATCACTGCATCTCCACAGCCCCGAGCCGGGGACCCAGCAAAGCTGCCCAGTCCCTTTTATGAACAACAAAACCGTGATGAAGGCAACAGGAGTCAGAAAACTATTCATTGCAGGAAGCCCCAGCATCCGGTGAGAAATAAGAAATACAACAGCACAGGATGCGCCTTGGGTCAGGGGGACGTGAAAAGCCCGCAGCCTCTGTGTGCGGCTGCAGCTCAGCCCTCAGCTCCCCTCGGAGCACAACTGGGAGCTGAGATAAATGCTCCAGCTGCTGCTGTCGCTGCTGGGCCTCTTGCTTCCTGCTGAGGGGGACACAATGGCCAGAATGTCCACCTCCATGGGTCTGCTGCTGCTGCTGCTCCTGAGCCAGCCTTGGGCGGGGACCGGAGCTGACCCGGAGGCCGTGGTCTGCGCGGGGACTGCCTGCTACACGGCCCACTGGGGCAAGCTGAGTGCGGCCGAGGCCCAGCATCACTGCAGCACCAATGGTGGCAACCTGGCCACGGTGAAGAGCGAGGAGGAGGCCCGACACGTCCAGCGCACCCTGGCCCAGCTCCTGAGGCCTGAGGCACTCCCGGTGGCCCGGATGGGCAAGTTCTGGATTGGGCTCCAGCGAGAGAAGGGCAAGTGCTTGGACCCCAACCTGCCGCTGAAGAACTTCAGCTGGGTGGGCGGCGGGGAGGACTCGTCTTATGCCAACTGGCACAAGGAGGTGAGGAGCTCCTGCATCTCCAAGCGCTGCGTGTCCCTGCTGCTAGATCTGTCCTTGCCACTCCTACCCAGCAACCTCCCCAAGTGGTCCGAGGGCCCCTGTGGGAGCCCCAGTTCTCCCAGAAGCAACATTGAGGGCTTCGTGTGCAAGTTCAGCTTCAAGGGCATGTGTCGGCCCTTGGCCCTGGGGGGCCCCGGCCAGGTGACCTACACCACCCCGTTCCAGGCCACCAGCTCTTCCCTGGAGGCTGTTCCCTTTGCCTCTATGGCCAACGTGGCCTGTGGGGACGGTGATGGGGACGAGAGTAAGAGCCAGCATTTCCTGTGCAAGGAGAAGAGCCCCGATGTGTTCGACTGGGGCAGCTCGGGCCCCCTCTGTGTCAGCCCCAAGTACGGTTGCAACTTCAACAATGGGGGCTGCCAGCAGGACTGCTTTGATGGGGGGGTTGGTACCTTCCGCTGCGGCTGCCGGCCGGGGTTCCAGCTGCTGGATGACCTGGTGACCTGTGTCTCCCGGAACCCCTGCAGCTCCAGCCCCTGTGGAGGGGAGGCCACATGCATCCCTGGGCCTGACGGGGAGAGCTACACATGCCGCTGCCCCAGAGGCTACCAGCTGGACTCCAGCCAGCTGGACTGCATGGACGTGGACGAGTGCCAAGATTCCCCCTGTGCCCAGGAGTGTGTCAACACCCCCGGGGGCTTCCACTGCAAATGCTGGGTGGGCTATGAGCCTGGCAGCCCCGGAGAGGGGGTCTGTCAGGATGTGGACGAATGTGCTCCTGGCCACTCGCCCTGTGCCCAGGGCTGCATCAACACTGATGGCTCATTCCACTGCTCCTGCAAGGAGGGCTACGTCCTGGCCGGGGAGGACAGCACCCAGTGCCAGGACGTGGACGAGTGTGCAGGCCTGGTGCACGGCCTCTGCGACAGCTTGTGCTTCAACACGCCTGGGTCCTTCCACTGTGGCTGCCTGCCAGGCTGGGAGCTGGCCCCCAACGGGGTCTCCTGCACCAGGGGTGCCATGTCCCCAGGACCACAGACCGGGCCTCCCCAGGAGGAGGATGAGGGAGGAAGTGAGAAGAGCACCATGCCTCCTGCTGCAACGTCCAGTCCCACCAGGGGCCCTGAGGGGACCTCCCAGGCAGCGCTCACTGCAAAGAGACCTTCCCTCCCATCTTACGTCCCCATCACCTCTGCCGCACCTGAGACTCTGGGCCCTACGGGGCCCCCTGGTGTCTGGGTGGAGCCCAGCACCCACCACCCCACGACCGTCACTGGCCACGGGGAGTCTGCTGGTGGGGGTTCCGTGGCCACCCAAAGCGATGATGGCACCGACGGGCAAAAGCTGCTCTTGTTCTACATCCTGGGCACCGTGGTGGCCATCTTACTCCTGCTGGCTCTGGCGCTGGGGCTGCTGGTCTTCCGCAAGCAGAGAGCGAAGAGGGTGGAGATGAAGGAGAAGAAGCCCCAGAGTGCGACAGACAGTTACTCGTGGGTTCCAGAGCCAGGGGACAGCAGGGCCGCTGACAATCAGTACAGGTAAGGGAGGCCCTGAGGTCACCTGGGGAGGTGGGAGGCACTGGCGGTGGGGCAGACAGGCAGCGGCGGGACAGGCACAGGGTCCCCGCCAGGTGTCCCACCCCGGTCCCCCCCGAGGACGTCGTTGTCTGCAGCGACGAGGGTCTCTTGTGCGAGCAGCAGGGGCACGGTGGCTTCCAATGCTGTCGTCTTGTGTTTTCTGTAGTCCTACACCTGGGACAGACTGCTGAAGGTGAGGTGGCCCGAGACACGTAGAGTCGGCTGCCACCATCCCCAGAGCTTTTAAGTCCCCGCCCGCAGGGGACCCGCATCCTTCTGAAAGACTGGACTGGAATCTTAGCAAACAGCTGTAAACCTTCTCCTTAAAAGCCTGGCAGCTGGGAATGTACAGGTATTTTCCGCATGCGTGTGGTGTTCCTGAAGTGGGCTGTTGTGAATATCACGAACTCTCACTCCCTTTCCAAATCCGAATGTGACTGATTTCATTTTCCACACTGATTCTGGATCAGGGCCGACAGGTCAGGTGCTGAGGATCTCTGTGAACCACTTCCCTGCTGAGTTCAGTCCCTTAGGAGCATAAGGACGACTGCTGATGCAAATTCAGGTTGAAATGATTTGTTCCTCTTGTGTGACAGAAAAAAGCCCATCAATCGTTTGGTGAAATAGAAGCTCTGTTTTTGTCGGGGGGCCAGCCTCAGGACAGCAGGCATTTCTCACTTGCCTTCCTGTCTGTGTTTCCCACTGCAAGCCCTGCTGAGCCCACACCGTCGGAATCCTCCAGAGCAGCCGGAACAGTGATCAGTGTGCAGGTAGCAAGGAGGCTGCATTCCCTAGTTCTCAAGTGAAATAGTTTATTTGCTAGTGAAGTTTGAAAAGTATGAGGAAAGTTGCTTGAAGTGGGTTGAAGGTGTTTGAGAAAACACATAACCTAAAGGGCCAGAGAGGGAGAGGCCGGGGCCTTGTTTCACAAATACTTGAATTAATTCATAAATGCACTGACGTTAACACACACTTGACTACTGATGGGATGAACACTGCTAAGGAGAAAGGTCCAGGACGACCTATCTCTGAGCCAATGCAGGCCACAGACACCTGCGTGCCGCCCTCCACGCCACTCTGCTCTGAGTCGGGTGCCTTGACTGGAGAGCCCTGGAAGGTGTTTCACTGGGATTGTCTTCCACAGGATGTGGGAGGGGAGTGACAGGCTGTGTTTTGAAAGCCGTCATGTTAAAGCATTTTAGCACAGTTCATAGTTCAGTCGACATTGCCTCCTGAGAACTTGAATCCTGATTTGCGGATTCAGGTTGGGGACTAGTCACGCAGGATGCTTGAAGAACTTTGGTCCTGTTTCTCTCTTTTCTTTAAAACAGGAGCGGGAAGGGGAGGAAGAGGGAAAGAGAGAATAACTAAAATCTTTTGTAACAGCAAAAACTACTGAAAGCCATTTTAATGTATATCTTCATTTTAATGTGTACATTTGCAAAGATTCCCTTAGGATGTTGTGGTGCATAGCGCATGCGCGCTCTCTCTCTCTCCCCCCTCCCTCTCTCTCTCCTCTCTCTCTCTCTCTCTTTCTCTCTCTCTCTCTCTCTCTCTCTCTCTCTCTCTCTCTCTCTCTTTCTCTCTTTCTCTCTTTCTCTCTCTCTCTTTCTCTCT